CCCATGAAGTTGACTGGATGGCATTCAATAAGCGAACACGAATGAAGAAGTCTCAATAGCGTTTTGGGAGGAAAAGAGTTGAAATGAGTGAATAATATATCTTCTAGCTTTCTAAATAAAGCAGAGGCATTTGGTGGCAAATAATTGAGTTTCCCAAATGGTTCGATCAACTCAGAAATCTGACTAGGGGAAAATTTTTCGGAATGGCAAACAAACATCTCTGCCACTGCATTCAAGATGGGTTTTGAAAGGATCCGTTTTCTGTTGCAGTACTCCATGACTTTGCTGACAATCTTGGGGTCCAAAGTGAGACACAGCGACACTACGTGCTGCTCCAGGGCTGTTATAAAAAACCGGTCATGGTGCCCAAAGTATATGAAAGCCTCTAAGACTTTTCCAAACTCTTTATCAGTGAAATGAGGGATATGCCTCACCACATATTTAGCCAATTTTATAACCAGAGGAAGTGCGTGAGTTTGATCGAGAACCACGAGGGCAGTGAGCATTTGGCTTATTGATTTAGGACTCAGAGTGTACACTATTGACAGAGAAAAGCTGTTTATCTTATTTAGAAATGTCTGGTGTTGGTCCACCTTTTCAGGACACGCCTGCAGTATCCTATAAAGGGCCACAATATCCTCAGGGGTAAAATCTTCCAATTTTTCACGCTGCAGTTGATTTATAATCAGGTCTAGGGTGGCACAACCTGGACCTTCTAGTTTAAGCAGACTTTCCGCAAGAACACAAAGACTGTGGACTTCCAGGCCGCCCGTTTTGACCCGATGTTGGCATTCTGCCACCAGGGTCAGTAACAAACTACTTTGGGGATCCACACACAACAGAGTCAAAGCTTGCAAAGCAGTCACCAAACCGGTGTTTGACAGATTGGAGGGTTCCTGTTCAAACTGAACACATAAAGCTTGAAAGACGGGATTGTCTATTATTTCCTTTGGCAGCCTTTCATCACCATCTTTTTCTCCCAATTCGCAAATCCGTTGTAAGGCTCCGGCTGCCATCCTATCAGGCAACGTTTGCAGTGTGCTTATGAAACCCAGCACCTCTTCTGGTGAAGTGCAGTTGTTCAGTCTCCTGTAAAAAACCTGTTCGTCCATGTGCTCGAGATTTTGTTCAAAACTGTCCCAATCCTGAACTGGAGGGAACACTGGCTCACCAACTGGACGCAGGTCATTTCCGTTTTCTGAATGGAACTTTTTACAGCAGGCATGATGGAACCTGACCCTGAAAGGCCCAGGTTGTAGTGAACAGAAGAACCATGGGTACAAATGTCCCCTGATTGCCTTGTGAACATGATGTACAGGTTGATTTTTCAGAGCACCCAGAGCTCCATTTATCCGAAAATCAGAGAAATGACAAAGATTCCTCCGCAAGGTGAATAAAGCCATGCCATCGGATTCTCAACTCTTGATTTGTAACTAAATATAGGAATAAAAAAAATGGTCAAATATATTGAGAACATGCCTCATTCAACATCAATACTTATGGAACTAAGGAAGAGTACCCCAAGTAAGTGATTAATAAACATTTCCCAGCAAAACCTAAGTACCAGAAGAGCAGTGCCACTTAGAAAACCGGCTGTCATCTAGTAATTTGCCTGGTACTGTTGTGCTTTTCGTGCTCTTGACAGCACAATAAATTAAGCACGTTCGCAGATACTGGTTTGGCTCAGTGGATAGAGCGGCAGCCTGCGGACTGAAGGGTCCCAGGTTCTATTCTGGTCAAGGGCATATACCTTGGTTGCAGGCACATCCCCAGTAGGGGGTGTGCAAGAGGCAGCTGATCTATGATTCTCTCTCATGGATGTTTCTAACTCTCTATCCCTCTCTCTTCCTCTCTGTAAAAAATCACTAAAATATATTTTCTAAAAATTAAGCACGTTCATCATCACAAAGAAGTAACTGTATCCAGTTTACACAGATAGTACCGTAAGTGGCAAAGCCCGGATGGAGTCAAAGTCTATACATAAACACACGTCCTATAAGTTGGTGGATGGAAGGAATTGGGTCTGGTAAAATGTTTTTCGTCAGAGCTGGGAATCTCCGGATGCGGAGGGCCCACGACAATGAAGTTTTGGGTGAGTCAAAAGTTATACCGGATTTTCCAATCAATGAGGGGGCGGGGCGAGCAGAGTGTCGGTGCCCCTAATGCCTGCATTGTTCAAAGATGAAAAAAAAAGCAATGGGTCAAGTGGCCAAAACTCCTATAGATCAACGTATTGCAAAGATTTTTTAAAAGGTGCTTAAAAGCTCCCGCGGTTTTGGTTGCCCCTGTAATCTAGGACTGAGGAAGAACATGGTCTAGGCTGGCAAACGGCAAACAAACAAATGAATAATAATAATAAAAAAGTACAACCATGCAAGTCAATAAGGGGAGAAGATGGGCAGATGGGAGGCCAGTCCAGATCTAACCACCCCGCTGTGAGATTTAAGAAAACGAATGTGCCGGGCAAGAGGGGACGGGTGCCGTGTCCTCCCGGAATAAAAGGACCCCGGAGCCTGGCGCCCGCAAACCCGGCGACCCTGGGACCTGCGCTCCAGCACCGGCCGGGCGCGGCGGCCTGAGAAGGCCAGTGCAGCACCGGAGTCTCAGCAAGGACACGGGGCTTAAAAACCAAGCCCTGCACCCGCGCGGACACCTACCGAGCTCAGCTCAGCTCGTCGGAGTCGGAGCAGCTCTGGCAGGTCGGCCTTCACTTCGCACGCCTTGGAGGACCCGAGCTGTCTGGCGCATGCGCGAGGACAGAAAGCCACACCCCCCCAAGCCCGGCGCACTGTGATTGGCCCAGCTCCTCCCGAGCTCTCCGCGCGCATTGGTTTGGACGACGAGCGCGCGCCGCCACTGTGTGCGCAGGCGCTGGAGCCAGGACGGCGGAGCCACGCTCTCCCCGGGCGTCCCCGGCTGGGCCCTCGTGAGTACCTGTGGTCGCTGCACCCCGTTTTGGACCATACACCCAGCACTGGCCGATGGGGAGGCGGTTCCGGGTCGGCGAGGGTAAGGGCTTCCGCGTCCAACCCAGGGCGTTCCAACCCTGACCCCTGATCGGGAGAAGGGCGCGCGCTGGTCCGTCTGAAGCCTGGCCCCGCTGGGCTGCAACTCGGGCTGCGCGGCCGGGGCCGGGCGGTCACCCGGCGTGTGCACGGGAGGAGCTGGTCCCGCAGGTGGCTGTGCACCCCTGTGGGATCGGCGTCTTTATTCTGAACGCCTTTATAGCCTGGGTTAAAGGGCACTGTGGGGGCGCGGTGGAGTCTCAGGCGTGTTCGGAGCGTGGACCCGGCAGGCTGAGCTGTCCTGCTCACCGCTCCTCCGCCTGGCCTTGCTTTGCAGGTGCCAGGGAACCGCCTCGGAGAAATGCGGGGACCAGTACAAGGCGGGTGGAGGACGAAGAGGTTCTGTCTGTTCTCTGAAGCGCCTACACCCGTGCGCGGCCCCCAGGAAAGGTTGCAGGTGGTTAGCTGAAATAAAGAGCGTGGGTCCTGTCACTTTCTCAGGTAGTGAGCCCTGAATGTGCAGTGTCCTCATATGCACTCATTCACGAGCGTTCCTTTATTCTGTTAATTCATTGAGCACCCGCTGTATGCCAGGTGTGTTCTGTTCCCTAAGCATATTCCGTGGCTATTAACATGTTCCCTAGCACAATTCTTTTATTTACTTATTTATTTTTATGTCTTTGTTGCTTAATTTGGCCAGAAGAGCATAAAACTGTTGGTGGTTCATTCATCAAAAAGGTTTTGATTTGGGTTTCAGTTTAACTTTTTTCCCCTACTAATTGACCGTGCCCCCGTTGTAGAGATTGAATAAGATTGAGGAGAAGTCTGTGCGTGTCCTTTATTTTATTACTGGTTTCTCTTCAGGAAAGACGTGAACTAGTAAAACTATCGACTGGATTAGAAGTATTTGCCTTCCATCAATCCATATTTAAGTACAGATACACATGCACTTACCTATATTTGATATTGGATTAAATAATAAAACACTTTTATTAAGTTCATTACTAGTTTAATTAGCAGAAGGAACCCAGACTCCTACAATTTTTTAAAATAATTCTTATTTGTTGAAAGTATAACATATGTCCCCTTTTTTTCCCCATTGACCTCCCTCCAGTCCCCTATGCCTTCCCCCCCCCCCCCCCACACACACACAGAGGCTTTCATCCCCCTATTTTCTGTGTCCATGGGTTATGCATATATGCATACAAGGTTTTTGGTTGATTACCTCCCACCTTCCCTCCGAGATCCCATACTCTGTTCCACGCTTCCATGATTCTGGATCTACTCAGTCATCCGTTTATTTTATTACTTAGATTCCACATATGAGTGCAATCATGTGATACTTGTCTTTCTCTGACTGGCTTAGTTCACTTAGTATGATACTCTCCAGGTCCCTCCATGCTGTCTCAAAGGGTAAGAGATTCTTCTTTTTTACTGCTATACGGGATTCCATGGTATAAATGTACCACAGCTTTTTTATCCATTCACCTGCTGATGGTCATTTAGTCTGTTTCCATATCTTAGCTACTGTAAATTGTGCTGCTATGAACATAGGGGTGCATACATTCTTTCTGATTGGTGTTTCTGTTTTCTTAGGATATATTCCAGAAGTGGGATCACTGGGTCAAATGATGGAATAAAGGAATGTGCATAAAAATGGCAGTTCCATATTTAAGTTTTTGAGGAAACTCCATACTGTTTTCTGTAATGGTTGCACCAGTCTGCATTCCCACCAGCAGTGCACTAGGGTTCTCTTTTCTCCACATCCTCGCCAGCACTTGTCATTTGTTGATTTGTTGATGGTAGCCATTCTGACAGATGTGAGGTGATCCCTCACTGTCGTTTTAATTTGCATGTCTCTGATGATCAGTGACTTGAGCATGTTTTCATATGTCCATTGACCATCTGTACGTCCTCTTTAGAGAAGTGTGTATTTAGGCCCTTTGCCCATCACTCCTACAATTTTAATTTTAAAAGTTTTACTTTTCCCCTTTTTACTGGTAAAAGAGAAAGAAAAGAGGAGTCTGATTTATTGAGCACTGCTGTGTCTCAGCGATTGCTCGGTGCTTTGTTTCTCTTTGTCAGTAGACTTTTCTGTGGTGACCCCCATTTAGAGGGTGAGAGAGCTGAGGCACAGATCCATTGTGAGGCTTGCCAACTCTTCTGCTGTGTGACTGACCCTGGGTTGAAGCCCAAGTTGTCTGACCCCAGAATGATTTCTGAAACATGGAATTAGAGCTTCATTCTTCTAGTCTCCTTGGTTTGATAAATTCTCTTTTTTATGACGCTTTGAGAATTAGTGCTAACAAACAGATTCAGAGAAGTGTATTTCGTATTTTGTGTGGATATTGTTGGAATCTTTTTTTTGAAGATTATGAGGGAGAATTAATACCTGCAGTTTGTTACTACTTTGTTAAAAAGAAAATCCTCTTTTCTCTGTTTCATTTTCAGTGTAGCTACTCCAGCTGTAGCGTATGCCTGGAGGAGATGAGAAGGTTTTTGTTACTCTATGCTACGCAGCAAGGACAGGCAAAGGCCATAGCAGAAGAAATATGTGAAAAGGCAGCTGCCCATGGATTTTCTGCAGATCTTCACTGCATCAGTGAGTCAGATAAAGTAAGAGCTGTTATTCTTACGGTTTTTACTGTTTTATGCTTTGAAGATATTTTGGTTGGGAGTGATGTAAAACAATAAAATAGGACTTCATCCTTTTTTCTTAAATACTCAGAAGTTATTATTTTATCAAGAGTTTTAAGATTCCTACCAGCTTTTCTTTTTTATTTTACACTTAAGTATCCATTTGAATTAGACTAAACTGTCTCAAAAACTGAAACAAGTATGTACTCAACCAACATGGAAGCAGTAGTTTTTGCCTTGTTTATCTCATGGGATGGCTCTGAGAACAATGAGATGCATGGGTTCCCATGGATATGTGTGCTTTCCACTTCATGAATCTCAGGGCCCCATTTGTTTTTCTCCAAAATAAAGACCTTATCATTTGTGTCAGAGTTCCTCCAAGTGAAGGGGTACTTAATTCTTTTGTGAAATAAAATTTAAAGCAGGAGTGTAAAGATCAGGAGAAGACTCTGCTTCTTTAGGTCAGGAACTAATTGTGCATTCTTTCAGTCTCTGCCATCTATCATAATAAAAGCGTAATATACTAATTAGACCTGACGTTCTTTCAGATGACTTTCTGGACAAAAGCCAGGGAAGCCTGGGTCCCAGGTGCCAGAGGGAAGCCAGTGGCGGCAGCCAAGGGAAAGAAGGCCCCTACTCTTGCACGAATTTTGAGCATTTGTCCTCTAGTAGGATCCATAACAACTTAACAGATCTACGTTCTTAACAGTTAGTTCTCTTGAGACCTCCAGATTTTACTGTTTTGTGTAATCCAGGTCGTAGCAACTAGCAGGGGCTTTCATATAAGCACAAGCTGAAGCCTTAGCCACTGGCAGTCAAATTCAGTTCAGTACTTCAAAAACTGCCCTGCTAGTACACCCACACTCAAGTTCACAGCTTCCTCTGTTTTTTTTCCCCACACGTCTGGTTCAAAAGAATTATGAACTCAATTCAAGGGCCAAGGTGACTCCTGGTGTAGTCACTCACAGGGAGTGTCCTGGAAGACACCACTAATGGGCAGGTTTTGTAATTCTGTAGTAACTTCAAAGTAAGTTTACATTATGGGTGCCACAGTTTGAATCTTACAAAAATAAGGTCATCATATAACTAATCCTGACTTGGCCCCTTGGGTCACCTCACCACCTAGGTCTGCAGCTATCTGAAAGTTAGGTGAGTAGTTAGTGTTTTTCAATATCAAATTAGTAACATCTTCTCAGCTGAATTGTTTCTCCAATTTTTTTTCTTCTCGCTTCTCCAGTTCTTGATCCAAATTTAAACAGATAGCTCTCTATTTCCTAGATCATGTGAGTCCTTTTCAAGCTGAAGTTACTTTAACAGACTGTGTAGAGTTTAATATATAACTTGTGAAGTGCCCAATGAGCGTTGACTTTCCTATAAAATGTTAGATCAATTTTTTATCTATTAAATCAGCATGAAAAGTAAAGCGAATTTGAGCCAAACTACAATAGATGCCATTTGTTAGCAGTAGAGCTCATACAATCATAAATAGAAACAGTGCAGTGCTCTTTTTGAAATATTTACATTTAGGTGAACATCTGAATGAAGAAGCTTGATTTTAAGACTTGGAAACACCACTGATTCCAGTTTATCGCTGCTAATGTTCTCAGCTCTCTGGGACACTGCGGGAGTGATGGCCGAGTGCCCTGATAGTCAAGAGTAACAATTTGCCTTCCTTCCCAAGTTGAAAATGCTCTGCGTGCCTCTCTGCCCTTATGCCATAGGCCAGGGGTCTTCAAACTACGGCCCGCGGGCCACATGCGGCCCGCAGAGGAGTCTGATCCGGCCCGCCAGGTTTTTTGGGCAGTGAGCGCAGCCGAGGTACTAATTCCTACTGTAACACCTCGGCTGCGCTCACTGCCCAAAAAACCTGGCGGGCCGGATCAGACTCCTCTGCGGGCCGCATGTGGCCCGCGGACCGTAGTTTGAAGACCCCTGTTAATTTAAGGCTTCGTCACCATAAACGGCACATAACTTTTTATGAGCTTGCGATGCGTTTTTCCCTTTGCGGAAATAAAAAAGCAAAATATGACGAAAATGTTCCTTTTGATTTTCCATTTTTCAACGAACGCCAAACGAAAACTACAAAACAGATCAAAAAACTTTTTTTACTGATTAACAGCTGAATAGCCAACTATCAAATAACAAAATGTGTTTTACATTTGTACTACGTCTGCAAACCTAAAAATTCAACTGAAGCCATATATGTTTGATACCCGCAATTACTTAGTTGCCGGCCCAATAGTTCATATAGTCCGGCCCTCCAGCTCTCTGAGGGACCGTGATCTGGCCCCCACTTTAAAAAGTTTGAGGACCCCTGCCATAGGCAATACTGCTGGCAGGTTCAAGACAGGAAACTAAGCTGATTTTAAGTCAAAACTACACATAACAATAGGACTGACATGACATTCTTGTTTTGTAGTATGATCTAAAAACTGAAACAGCACCTCTTGTGGTGGTGGTTTCTACCACGGGCACTGGAGACCCACCTGACACAGCACGCAAATTCGTGAAGAAAATACAGGACAAGACGCTGCCAGGTGATTTCTTTGCTCACCTGCGGTATGGGTTATTAGGTATGTACTATATATATCCTGCTCGCTGTGTTGTCATTAGTGGCTTTAATTCTAGTATCTGAATGTATCTTCCATATGTTATAATTTATCTTAGACTCATAAACGGATCCTATTTTTGTTTGGAAAGTACATAGACATGATTAAAAAACTGAAACATTTAAGCTGTTACTTTGAAATTTGCAACCAAGCCTGAATATGTTAGCCCATTTTCATACCAGGAAACATAGAAACAATTTTAAGTTTATCCAACAGAAACGTGGCCAGTGATTGTTTACATTGTAGATGTACCTTGTATGCTCAAGGTTAGGGGTCAGTAAACCCTGTAAAGGCCCAGATGGGTATTTTAGGCTTTTCACGCAGGCCATGTGGTCTCTGTAACAGCTACTCAACTCTGCTGTGGAAGCTTGAAAGCTGCAATTACAGTATGTGAACAAATATATTTGACTAGGTGCAGTGAAATTATATTTACCAAAAAAAGAGAGGCGTATTTTGCCCACAGGCTATAGTTTGCAGACCCTGCACCAAATCGGAAAAGTCTGTAAATATTGTATGTTTTTTAAACCTAATTCTTGTTTTAAGATTTTCATATTTTTACACCAATTGATGGAAAAAAGAATGAAAAAATTTTTCTGTTAACAGTGGCCAAAAAATATTAGTTGTTAACAAATATTTTTAACAGTGGCCAAAAAATATTTGTCTGGTACTTCTACATTATAAAATAAAAGAAAATTATTTCATATTTAGTATTACTCAAAGAAAAAATAATAAAAGTATATCTTCTCCATCAAAAGGAATGAATGGAATTGTTTGAAATATTTGTATATATCTTCTTTAACTAAAGCTTATTGTGCACTGATAACCTATTTGGGCTCTTTAGGTCTGGGTGATTCAGAATACACGTACTTCTGTAATGGGGGGAAGGTGATTGACAAGCGGCTTCAGGAGCTGGGTGCCCGGCATTTCTATGACACTGGACATGCGGATGATTGTGTGGGGTAAGAGCAGTGCACTCCTGTCATTTCCAGGAACCCCGATTGTACATGATGAAAGGTAGCGAATTTAAGTGCCTCATCCTTCTAAGTATCTGCTAATGGGTGAAATTACAAAAGATGTCCCAGTACAGTTACCTTTGTCTAAAATGTGTAGGAATTTGTAAAAGTCAGCAATTTGTTTAGGAACTTAAATATCCTATATGTATGCCTTTCTCTGATTGCACACAGGAGAGTAACTCAGCAAGGGACCTCTTACATGGATGTGAGGCCATGCATCACTAATAGGGAACGCAGGTCCAGGCCTTCGCTGCAGGCTATGTTCTTGTCACTCTCTCCTTTACATCTTAATGCCCACCAGAAATACAATTTTCAATTTCATTACTTCTATTTACTTTTGCTTTTACAACTCAGTGTTCCACCCTATTGCCACCCTTTAAATCCTCTTACAGTGTATTTAAAGATCTGATAGATGTTGGTGGTCTTATAACTCATTCTGTCATTTAACCTTTAACTATTTTAGTCAGGTAAAAGGACACACACTTAATTTTTTTCTATCAGGTGCATACATTAAATTAATTCTCACTAGATTTATGCTTATGAATAATGTCAAGTTCAGCCAATGTCTTGCTTTTTTGCATGTTACAACCTTGTATGAGGGTGTTAGATACACTTTTATTCCACTTAACTCCCCCTTCATGTCCATCACTGCCTGCAGCTGTGGTGGTCTGCCTGCAGCTCTACTGTTGTAGATCTTCTCCATGTCCCCAGTGCACATGTTTTTGATGGTGACAAAGCTCTACCACATTTCCTTGCATGTTACTTTTTAGTTTTGTCCCTTTATACATATTGGGCTTTCTTCCAGAATTTTGTTGACATTAAATGTTTTTTGCCTTATGTGAGCTGTTTAATTTCTAACTCCTTATATAGTTCCTTAGCCTTTTATTGTGTCCATATTTTACTTCTTTTCAAATGCTTTTGGTTTCTCTGATCATTTATTGGATCAGGCATTAAACATTTTTAATCTAGGAGAGAAACCAATATGGCGGCATAGGTAAACACATAAACTGCTGCCTCACACAAAATTTCAAAATTACAATTAAAAGACAAAATGGACATCATTCAGAACCACAAGAAGGCTGGCTGAGTAGAAATTCTAAAGGAAAGAGAAAAGCACACGGAGACTCACAGGAGCTATGGAAGGCAGAGGTACAGAGGCGCACGCGCAGAGAGGGCTGGCAACCGAGTACACGGCTGACTTTCTCAGGAGGGAGACAAAAGCTCCCATCTGCTCTGAACTACAGTTCTAGGTGAGACTCTGGGGACCCAGACTCATACAAGGAGAAACTGGACTGTCTAGAAGCTGGTGAAACTTGAGGGTGGTTTTCTCTCAAGGTGCTTGCAATGATTACTACGGGAGATTGAGACTCAGGGGCCTCTTAGGGCAGGGCTGACGGGAAACGGTTGCTGTTTGCTCTGCCCTGAGACTTCACCCCATCCATGGTGAGCACAGAGGCTTTTGCATATGAATTGCCTAGTCCTTTGAATTCTAAACTTATCTAACAAACTGCAGCTGAGTCAGTGAGACCCAGAACATCCAAAAGAAGGCCCAAGGCCCCACAGCAGCTTGCATTGCTTCACAGCTGGGCCTCATCTGGGCACCTTCGAAACCCAAACAAAGAAGAAGAATCTACAGATCTTTCCGTAGCTCCTGCTGGGTGGCCTCAGGCAGAGGCTAAATTTGCACCTCCTTGGAGATCCAAGAGACAGGGTACCCAGGGGTCAGAGTGGGACCATCCAGATTACAACTCCTCAATTCATAAAGGACACACTTTGGGGACAGACTCGGTGAGCACCAAAGCCCCACTGAAGCAAGTCTTGTCTCATTAGGGTGTCTCCAGCACTGAAATTCCCCCATCGTAGACACAGCTGATCCTCACAGCCAATTTGCCTAGAGGTCATTTCCTCCTAGTAATACCAACAACAATCAAGGCTTAACTACAACAAGACTGTGCACACAGTCCACAAAGGGGTGCACCAAGAGTGTCCATCTCAGGTAACTGGAGAGGCTTAGCCACTCGGCCTTATAGGACACCAAACACACAAAGCCACTCTATCTACTCAGGGAAGCAGCCAAAATGTGGGGACAAAGAAACAGGTCACAAATGAAAGAAATGGAGGAAAGCAAACAACTGGATATAGAGTTCAAAACCAAAGTTATAAGGTTTCTTAAGAATTTTCTAGAAAAGGCCAATAAATTTAGCAAGACCCTCAAGGATATGAAAAAGCACCCACTAGAAATTAAACATACATTGACTGAAATAAAAATAATATACAAAGATCCAATAGCAGACTAGAGGAACTCAAGAATCAAGATTTGAAATACAAAGAAGCAAAAAACACCCTACCGGAAAAACAGAAAGAAAAAAGAATCCAAAAATATGAAGATAGTGTAAGGAGCTGCTGGAACAACTTCCAAGTGTATCAACATCCAAATGATGGGGGTATCAGAAGAAGAGAGAAAGCAAGATACTGAAAACCTATTTGAAGAAATAATGACAGAAAACTTCCCCACCTGGTGAAAGAAATAGACTTACAAGTCCAGAGAGCACACAGAACCTCAAACAAAAGGAATCCAAAGAGGACCACAGCAAGACACATCATAATTAAAATACCAAGAGTGAAAGACAAAGAATCTTAAAAGCAGCAAGAGGAAAAGTTAGTTACCTACAATGGAGCACCCATACGATTGTCAGCTGATTTCTCAACAGAAACTACGTAGGCCAGAAGGGAGTGGCAAGAAATATTCAAAGGGATGAATAACAAGAACCTACAATCAAGATTTCTCTACCCAGCAAAGCTATCATTCAGAATTGAAGGTCAAATAAAGAACTTCACAGTTAAGAAAAAGCTAAAGGAGTTCATCACTGCCAAACCAGTATTATATAAAATGCTGAAAGGTATTCTTTAAGAAGAGGAAAAAGAAGAAAAAGATAAAAATAAAAGTTATGCACAACAAATATTATACATATCTATCAACAAGTGAATCTAAAAATCAAGTGAATAAAAAAAATCTGATGAAGAAATAATATAATAGAGTCAGGGGCATAGAAAGGGAGTGGACAATTTTTGGAGAGAAAAGGGTGTGGGGGTGCATGAAAAGACTGGACAAAAATTCTACACCTATGGACAAGGGGGATGGGAGGTAAGGGCAGAGGGTGGAATGGGAACCGGGTGGAGGGGAGCTATGGGGGGCGGGGGGAAGAGGAACAATTGTAATAATCTGAACAATAAAGATTTATTTTTTTAAAAAAGTTTAAACCTATATTTCTGTTGCATGTCTTAAATTTTCAACCTAACTATCTTGAATTTTCTCTTTTCTAAAATTAAAATATTTTCAAGAGAACACCTGTTTTAATGTACCACCATATTGAAGGGGTTAAGAATGCAGATTGGAGTCCAAATACCTGGTTTAAATCCTTGATCCCTCACTTAATGATTGAAACCTTGGTCAAATCACTTAAGCTTTTTATGCTTCTGTTCTCCTTCGTGAAATCAATAATGATGGTATATATTGAGTAAGGTTCTTTGGGGACAAAAGAATTAATATAGGTTGTCCTCTTGGAATAGTACCTGCTATGTAATAAGCACTGATGAACATTTGCTGTCTCTCTGATTATTGTCTTCATATTTCTGAGTTGTGAGACTGTTTTTTCAATGTAACTGTCATTATTGAACTCATTATTTTATGAATTTGCTTTTCCAAAGGTTCATGACGGTTAAATGTACTGTATAACCAAATTTTGAGCTATGTACTATGTGAGCACCTAATGAATACAATGAAATTAGCAGGAGTCTGTAATAATACAGAGTCTAAAATGTGCCTTTTCTTAATAGTCATTTTGTGTTATGAATTGGAATTTAATTGGTACCTCCTTTTGAGTTGTGATTAAAGATGACAATAATGTTTCCAAGGTTCTGACACAGTCATTCTTATCTGTTCACTCATACCTTCTCTGTTCAAGGAACGTGGAGAATGTTATTGTGGAGTAGTCACACTTCGTTAGGAGTAGGTAGACCAACACATTTCAGATGTACTTATGAGCATTTTCCTCCGGTGTTCTGCCTCCCTGCAAATTTTACCAGAAAAATCGTTCAGAACTTATGGAGGATTTGAACAATTACTTAGTTAAAAGAGTTAGCATTTGGCCAAAACCGTTTTGGCTCAGCAGTAGAGCGTCGGTCTGCGGACTGAAAGGTTTCGGGTTCGATTCCGGTCAGGGGCATGTACCTTGGTTGCGGCCACATCCCCAGTAGGGGTGTGCAAGAGGCAGCTGATTGATGACTCTCTCTCATCGATGTTTCTAACTCTCTATCCCTCTCTCTCCCTCTCTGTACAAAATCAATAAAATATATTTTTAAAAAAATAAAATAAATAAAATACCTTCATTTCTGTTCTTTAACTTTTATACATGCTCATATTTTTTACAGCTCAGTGCTAATGAACTGAGAATAATTGTTCTGCTTTTAACTTAGTCATTCATCATTAATTTTTGTATCCTGAATAGTCTTCCTAGTGTTTTTCACAGTTGCCTAGGATTCTGTGAAATGAACAGACACTGCCATTACCCATTCTTATGTTTTTGTTATTTTTATCTTTTATTGATTCCAGAGAGAAAACGGGAGAAAGAGAGGGAGAGAAACCATTGGTTACCTCCTGCACGCACCCCAATTGGGGATCAAACTCAAAACCTGGGTGTGTGCTCTGACCTGAAATTGAACCTGCCACCCTTTTGGTGTACGGGAAGACACTACAACTAACTGAGCCACACCTGGTAGGGCAATTCTTATGTATTTAAATGGATAACTCAGGTATTTGTTTCTTTTTCCTTTTTTTTTTTTTTTTACAACAATCCAGTTTAGAACTTGTCGTTGAGCCGTGGATTGACGGGCTCTGGGCTGCCCTCACAAAGCATTTTGTGTCAAGGAAAGGAATAGAACAGATGAGTGTGACTCTCACAACAGCATCAACTGCCTCCCAGAGGATGGACCCTGTGAAACCAGAATTAATACACATCGAATCACAAGTTGAACTCCTCAGATTAGATGACTCAGGAAGAAAGGATTCTGAGGTTTTGGAACAAAATGCAGTGAACAGAGACCAGTCAAGTGCTTTGATAGCAGAACTTGAGTCCTCACTTACCCATTCAATACCCCCACTTTCCCAGGCCTCTCTGAATATTCCTGCTTTACCACCGGAATATTTACAGGTGCATTTGCATGAGTCTCCTGGCCAGGTAAGCAGCCTTGCTTCATTCTATGTATTATCTTACCATAGATGTGGGGGGTTTTTTGTTGTTGTTTTCTTTTGGTTTGTTTAATTACATTACAACAGAACTCAACAATCTATGGCCTGCTGGCCAAATGTAACCCACCACTCCCTTGTGGTTTGTAGTGTTTTATTGGAACACAGCCCATCTATTCACAAGCTCACAGCCACGCCCATCCATTCACAAGCTTCTGGCTGCTTCTGCATTGCTGTGGCGAGTTGAGTATTTACATCAGAGGTCTGCCCCCATGCACTTAAAAGCTGTTGTAATAATACATTACTTCTGTCTTTGAAGAAGTAAATGATTAAGAGCTCAGTTTCTCTGATATTTTGGAGAATTAACTTCTTGGTTTCTTATTTTAGATGTGAGTCAGAGAAGGGAAAACTGTTGTGGGCAGTCAGGATATTATCTCAGCAGCTAATCTTAAAGGAATCCTTAAAATCTTTTCTAGTGTGGATTTTGGTATCCTGGAGGCTCCATTTTAGGGATTATTTTTTTAAAAAAATATATATTTTATTGATTTGTTTACAGAGAGGAAAGTAGAAAGAGAGTTAGAAACATCTATGAGAGAGAAACATTGATCAGCTGCCTCTTGCATACCCCTACTGGGGATGTGCCTGCAACCAAGGTACATGCCCTTGACCGGAATCGAACCTGGGACCTTTCAGTCCGCAGGCTGATGCTCTATCCACTGAGCCAAACCGGTTTTGGCTATTATTCTTGATAATATCTTATAAACCTGTTTTTATCTATAGTAAGTCTTTTTATTTGCCTAGACTATTTTTTCTATCGACTAAATGACTTCAAAGGATTCTGTGTAAATTTTTACACTCATGTGAAATAATAGCTAACTTCTCCCCATGGCTGCCAGTATATGGTTTCCTGAAATTTTCTACAGTGTGCTTATGGTAAATTTTCAGTGCAGCCAGTTTGTTAATGCAGAGCCAAGTCTGCTTTCTTTTTTTTTTTTTTTTTTTTTTTTTTGAAATACAGCTTCCATTTATTTTCCCCAGAGAACTTTTCTTCGCTCTTTAAAGACTTAGCTTCTTACATGGGCTTTGGTGGAGGTCGTGGGGCAGCACTCGCAGGCCTGAATCGGGGCGGGGGTGTTCAGTCCTTCCGGGCTTCACGAGACCGATTCCGGACTACCTTGCTGTGAATGGCGCAGCTCACACAGTAGTGCAGCTTCACATACAGCTTGGGAAGCACATAGGCGTCGAAGACACTGGCTTCGGAGATGTCCCTGACGGCCGCGGCCTCCACTATGTTTCAAATGACAAACTTCTTAATGGCCTTGTCCTTGGGCACGCACTGGGCGCAGTTGGTGCAACGAATAGGCTGCACATGGCCTCGGCCTTTTTTGGCACGACCGTTATTCCTTCTTTTCTTGGTCATCTTGGAAACGAGGACCCGAGAGAGGACAAGTCTGCTTTCTTAAGATGCTTGACTGGAGTTCCACAGGGGCTTTCTTAAACCACACCCTCAAAGCTGCAAGCATGATTTGTAGTTCTTTATTTTCTTTTTAATGAAGAAACACTTAGACATTTGAGAAACAAGTTAAGTACAACTTTCAAATACATTAGAGCTATTTGCAAACATCTGATGTAATATGCATTTTTTTAACATCATATTTGCGGGGGGATTATTTATTTCAAAGAGGAAAGGAGAGGGAGAGACAGAAACATTAATGATGAGAGAGAATCATTGATTGACTGCCTTTTGCACACCCCCAACTGCGAATCAGGCCCACAACCCAGGCATGTGCCGTTGACCAAAAGTGAACCTGGGACCTTTCAGTCTGCAGGTCAATGTTCTATCCACTGAGCCAAACTGGCTAGGGCAGGATCTTCTATATATATAAAAACCTAAGCGATCAGCCCACTGGCCAGTAGGTATAATGCACACTGACCACCAGGTGGCAGGTGTTCAACACAGGAGCAGAAACCATAGGCATGGAAACATGGAACAGAATGATGAATCTCAGGGGGAAGGAGGGAGGGGGAAGGAGGGAAGAGATTAACCTAAGATCGTATATATACACGCAATACTAGAGGCCTGGTGCACTGATTCATGCACCAGTGGGGGTCCCTGTCAATTAAGATCCTTTGCCCAATTTTTATTAGATTATTTGTTGTTTTTAATTAGAACTTAGAAACGTCAAGTTGGAAAAGGTGTGGAGATGGTACAGAATTGGATTTCTTTACAGTTTCCCAGGAAATGTGCTGTCTAATATAAGCACCACTAGCATGTGTGGCTATTTAAATTTAAATTCGTGAAAATTAAATAAAATTCAGAATCCAGTTTTTTAATCACACTAACCATATTTCCAGTGTTCAAGTAGACACATGGGACTAGTGGTTCCTATATTGGCTAGTAGGAAACATTCCTGTTATCGAGAAAGCTCTGTTAAACATCACTGCCCACAATTGAGATTCTTGTGACCATCCAGACAGACATCTTTCAGTCTTAAACATCTATCGTTTCCTTCAGAATCACCTCCCTAAAATATGCATGCATGCTGTTTCCTTCTGCATAGCTTATTAGGAAGACTATTAGACATGTACATGAGGATGCTAGTATCTAGTACCCATATCTCAGAAATTCTAAAGTCCAACAGACAAGGCGTTTCAAGTGTAGGTGAGCTTCTCTTCTGAAAGATAGAGAAGCATCTGTGTGTAGTCACTCACCTCAGAAAAGAATACTTAAATATTCTGGATATTTTATAAGATCCTATAGATTTCACCTTAGTCACACAGTGAAGCAATGGTAAGTATTTTTGAAAATTGCATTTAATAATGTCACATTTCTTTCTCAAGGAGGAAAGCCAAGAATCTGTGACTTTAATGGATCCCATTTTTCAAGTTCCAGTTTCAAAGGCAGTTCAGCTGACTACAAATGATGCCATAAAAACCACTCTTCTGGTAGAATTGGACATTTCAGTAAGTTGCAGAATTTATTTCTCAGCACAGTTATGTTGTCAAGAAGTGCAGAGAGACTTGAGTGGCGTTATAGTCTGTACCACCTGCCTTTTATCCTTAACCCATCATACTTCTCCTCACTCACACCTGTTTTCTGCTCATTCTGGGAGGGCCTAACATGAGCAGCGCTCCTGGGGGGGAATCAGATTGAGAATAGTATTGCAGCCTTACACATTAAGCCAGGAAAGAATAATGGAATCCCAACAGTATTTTCCATATGAGAAGAGCCCTGGAAGAAATCAGATTACCTGAGATCAGCCAGCTAGCTGGAAATAGAGTTTAGACTACACAGTCATGGACAATTCATTTTTCAGTACTGGTTCTCATTCCTTTGAGAATCTGAAGGAAAATAAAAATCATTGGCCCTCTTTCCAGAGAAATTATTATATAAATATTTTCTGCAGTTTCGGGAAGCAGTATGTACTCCATAGTCTGAACTCCATCCACAAGCTTCTCTTCAATGATTCCCCAATCCATTACTCAAGTTAGGAAACTGATGGAGAATCCTGAGACCTCAATGCCCGAGTACTTCTTCCCAAAGTACTTTCTTATAACTCAAACCTCTGTTTTGATGAAGGTCCTGAGAAGTGCAGTGGGTTGCAATTTCAGAAAAATTAGGGCGCATCCAGTTACGTAGATTTAATTGAGTTTCCTAATAGTAAGAAAGAAATACAACAGGCATCAAGATTTTGCTTATGTATTTGTTTTGAAAGTTCTTAATATCCTCTGTTGTTTAATATTCTGTACACATAAAATAAAATGTTTTCATGTATACAGAATATTTAACAACTTGCAATATTAAGAGTATTCTGCTGTCCTATGCTTTTGTACTTACTCATAAAGAGGCAGAGGGTTGGTCAGCTGGTGGGTCCAGTCTGTCTCCCTCACAGGCTAGGGGTGTGAGCCTGTGTGGTCAGAGGCCTCGTGCAGGACCCTGGCCTGTGTAATAGGCAGTGGGAATGGGCTCCTCTCCAGCCCATGTTTGTTCACAGCCAGATGGTGTAACATTGTCAACTAGTGAAGAAAAGAATAGTGTTCTTTCCCATTCTGTTTCTCCCCAAAGGAAAAGAGTAACACAAAAGGAAATTGAAAACTAATACACACAACCTGGAGTAGTTTCCTTTGTTCATAATGTGTGTGTGTGCCTGTGTATATATGTGTATGTATGTTTTCATAGGAGGTTTTTTTTTTTTTTAACATGGATTACTAACATACTACTTACTGAGGTCCCTTACTCTTTAGAAAATGAGGAAGGTCTTCATTTCTATTGTGTAAATACTCAATGAAATAATGTAAAGTGCCAAGGCCGGTTTGGCTCAGTGGATAGAGCGTTGGGCTGCGGACTGAAAGGTCCCGGGTTCGATTCCAGTCAAAGGCATGTACATTGGTTGCGGGCACATCCCCAGTGGGGGGGGTGCAAGAGGCAGCTGATCGGTGATTCTCATTGATGTTTCTAACTATCTATCCCTCTATCTTCCTCTCTGTAAAAAAAATCAATAAAAATAAAAAAATAAAAATAAAGCAAAGTATTGGATAAATGTGGAATTTCATTTTTAAAATAACTTCTGATAAAGTATGTTCATTCAGTTTATTGGTCTTGTGAGCTTTTATTTTTTTACAATTAGAATCATTTTTTTAATTTATGTATTGAAATGGTCATTATAATAATAATTTTTAAAAAAACCTATGATTTTTTGCTCATAACTAAATTCTTTAATTAATTTGGGATTTTTTTTTGTTGATTCTTCTCTAGAAAACAGATTTTTCCTACCAGCCTGGGGATGCCTTCAACGTGATCTGTCCCAACAGTGACTCTGAGGTGCAGAGTCTACTGCAGAGATTGCAGCTCGCAGACCAAAGGGAACACCATGTCCTCTTGAACATTAAGGCTGACACCAAGAAGAAAGGTATGTCTCCTTCTTAAGGTGTCCTTGGGCCAACCAATCAGAGGTGGCAAATGCCAGTGCACCTCCCCCCAGGCCCCCATTCAGCACAGAGGGTCAGCCACATGCCAGGCACTGGCTGTTGGATTCTCGACCTTCACATCAGTTACAGAGTGAGATGATGATGGGTTTTATGCTTATTGGACAATACCAACGTTAAACGGGAATGTATTCAATAACTGGTCTTAGAGAAGCAGGTTGGTTAGTTGGGCTAATATGTTGGTTTGCTTTTTGCAATAAACATTATTTCAGGGACCCTTTCCCTTTCTCCACGTGAGAGTCTGTTCTGTGGAACTCTTCCCCCTCCCTACGTAGGAGTCTGTACTTGTTCTTTAATAAATTTCCACCTTTGCTATAAAAAATAAATAGACAATTTGTTTTTAAGTTCACATATTAAAATGTCACACAAGAAAAACTTCTTTATTATATGAAATTTTTTAAAAGGTTGTTTTCCTATTATGTTTATCATATTCTGTACACATAAAATGTTTTCATGTATACAGAATATTTAACAACTTGCAATATTAAGAGTATTCTGCTGTCCTATGCTTTTGTTATTTAATATAAAGAATTGCTTTTACTCATAATTAAAGGAAGTTATTTTTGTTGTTGTTATTTCTTAATCTTGAACTTGAGTTCAGTCAACTCTACCATTCTTTTTGAGAATCATACATGTTGTTAATAGACTACTGCCACATTTAGCTTTTTGTTTCTTGGTTTTGGGTAATTTTTTTTATTTGGCATACCTAGATTTGTTTGTCATAGCTATTGAATTTGTAGTTCTTTTGTTTTTTTGGTAAGTTACATTTTTCTGTTTTATTTTGGGGAAATTTTTTGACTGAATAAACTATGTCACAAATCCTAATGTAATTTGATATACTATAATGTAAGGTATTACTGTTACTTATGTTTTTAGGATGCAAAACATTTTACTTCTTATTTTCTGTGTCATGAACGCCTTCCTGTCTCTCTGAAAAGGAGCAGCCTTGCCCCAGCATATACCTGAGAGATGTTCTCTCCAGTTCATTCTTACCTGGTGCCTCGAAATACGAGCAGTTCCTAAAAAGGTACTTTTCTTTCTTCTTTGGGGAACTATTTACAAATATGCTTAGCTCTGTGTTAGATTTATTAAATAGACCTGGTATCTGCCCTTTGAAGGCTTTGAAAGCGCAGCATACTTTCAGAATTATTTCCCAAAGGTGTGTAGAATCTTTACAGTTGTCATAGGCAAATGTTTTTATATTGTGCTTACTTTTAAATTGTATGTTTTCTATTGAAATGAGATTTCTTATATAGGGTTTTTTGTTAGTCTTTTTTGGACATTAACTTGATGTAGCACATTAGTGATGAAGTGACCCTAGATGATGACCTTGTGTTATCCAGCTTTATTGACACCTTGTCTCTCTAAAGAGGGCAAGAAACTTAGGAGAGTGTAGGCTTACCCCACCCCTCTCCACTTGTCATCTGATTAATGTTGTTAAGCTTCCTTTTATGTAAATCTGTGGACATATTTATTGTTACTAGTATGTCAGAATTCTTCAGGTTTGAAAGGTTTTGGTAGGCTACACTGATATTTAGATGATTTGGAGATAGAACTATCCACTAGATGTCAGTGTTCAGCCCAGAGCTATATTTTTTTTAAATGTTGTAACTGGTTTCCCCCTAACCATTTCCCTCAAATGATGTTTAGGAGTAAAACTTTACAACCTGTACTTTGCCAAACTCGTATGACCAGTAAGCATAAACAGTGCTGTTATTAGGCTAAGGATGCAGTTTTTATTCTGTTTTATTAATATGTTTATTAAATTTGTCGCCTTTGGGAAGCAGGCTACTCGAGAAAGGTTCATTCCTAGACATGATAGGAGCAAATTTAGAATTCACTGTGCTGAAAGCTTTAGAATTTCATAAAGTATGTAAATATATATTATTTCTTACTTCAAAAGTAATATGCTCATTGTAAACATACAAGATACAAAAATAGCTAGCTCAAGAAGCAGAAGTCCCTTATAATCAGATCCTCAGAGTTAATGCTTGAATTTTGTTTTGCTGAAAACAAAAAAATATTAGGTCCTATAGTATGCATAACATTCTGTAACATGTGGTTTTTTTATTTAAAAAGAAGTCAGGAATTTGTATACCACGACTTGGAAATATTATTAGAGATAAAATGTCATATTACATGGATGTATCATAATTAAACTACTGACTTAATCATGAGCAGTGGTTCTTTTCAGTTTTTCACTATTAAAAAACACACACAAAAACAAACAAACAGGTGGCCCTAGATGGTTTGGCTCAGTGAATAAAGCATCAACCTGTGTACTGAAGGGTCCCAGGTTGGATTCCAGTAAGGGCACATGCCCGGGTTGCGGGCTCTGTTCACAGGAGAGGGTGGACAGGGGGCAGCCAATCAATGATTCTCTGTCATCATTGAGGTTTATATATCTCTCTCCTTTTCCCTTACTCTGTGAAATCAATAAAAATAAATCCTTTTTAAAAACCCAGGTAAACATTCTTTCACTATATTTATCTTTGCCACCTGTTTGAAATATTATTTTACATAAAATTTTTGGAGTAGAATTGCCACTTAAAAAAATACTTGCATTTTAAATTTTAGTAATGTTTGTCAGCTTATTTTCTATAAACAGTGCAGTACATCCTATTTTAGTGCCATAAAGTTTCTGTAATTCTAAAGTGAAAAATAACTTAAAGGATTTACAATTGCCAGTGTTTCACTATAATTTAGGATTTTTATTGATTTGAGAAATCGGTGCAAAGTGTTATTGGTAAATGTTATTACCTTACCATAGATTCCTCCAGAGTCTTGGATGTTTATTCATTCTACAGCCTTTCCTGAGTGTTTGGCACTATGTCTGGCACTTTGAGAAAGCCATGTGATCTGTTAGTCTCTGTATCATTAAGGCAACTTCTTAACTGAGCCCATGAAAACCCATGACCCCAAAAGAGCAGTCGTCTAGTCTACCCTGTTGAGAGAGTCCAGGACACACAATGTCTGAGCAGTGGAGTAAAAAAGTAGCATCATTCATTAGCATTTCAGATAGGATTTGATGTAAATAACTTGCTGAAGTTCTTTCATCCTAAATAACCTTGAATAGTAAGAGCTGTATTTGCCATTGAATGGATAAGCTTGGAATTGTGCATTGGAATCCCAAGTTGTTATTAGCATATTAGGTCCTTTACCCAAGAGTTTGGACTTTGGACTCAAGACTTCATTTTTGCTTTATTTGTTTATATTTTCCTCTTTCTATTTTCCTCTTTCTACAATGAATCTGAGTGACTAAGTGTCCACATACTGCAAGGTGATGGATGTTCTCACCCTCTGTCTCTTCAGACTCATATCCACATTCCTCTGCACCCAGATTGAACTACATATGGTCCCTGTGCCTTCTTGTAGCCATGCCATCTTCAATCCCCTGGTTTCATGTGGCCAGCCTTCAGCTCAAGCTTGCATTTTGTAACATCCTAACATCCTGTGTGTGCCCCTTTGGGGGAGGTAGCTTCTTGTACACTAATAACTCCTTGATTTATGTTGCTCTCACTATCCATGAAACCTTACGGGCTAGATAGGTGTCATTTTGTCCCAGTGCCTATCACATCAAAAGCAGTTAACAGTTGCCAAGTAAATGTAGAAGTCTAAGTTGTCATCATCAGCTAAGACAAGAACAGTGTTGTGTACTGAGACAAAATGTTGAATTATGAGACTTCTTGGTCATTTTTACTCAGATACACCTGACATGTAATTTGAGATTATACTTTTGACTGAGGAGTTTGGTTTAGGATATAGGAAAGTTAAACAAAAACAGAACATAAAAATGGGTTTTCTTAACAGGCTGATGTTAAAGCAAATAGCAAAGTAATTCTCTTTTTCTGACCACACTTGTAGTGGCTCTCTCACTTTTCCTTAGGTAATCGGACACATCCTCAGGTAGATGCTAACAGACAGTATAATAGCCAGAGCCAGAGCATGTAGAAATTTAAGTCTGCTCTCTTTGCTTGGGTCACAGGCATTTCTGCGGGCCCTTGTGGACTGTACCAGTGATGGTGCTGAAAAGCGAAGGCTGCAGGAGCTGTGCAGCCGACAGGGAGCGGCCGATTATAACCATTTTGTGAGGGATGCCTGTGCCAGCTTGTTAGACCTCCTGCTCGCCTTCCCATCCTGTCAGCCTCCTCTCAGCCTCCTATTCGGTGAGTGATCACGGTCATGGCTCTTTGGATTCTATGCGGGACACGTCTGAATGATCTGTGAGCAGGAGGTAAACATCTTACAGTTTGTCTTCCAGGCGCCTTGACATCAGAACTGCCTTCTAGAAGTCAGAAAATCCCTCTCCCAAGCTTTTTTCTTCTGCTATTGTCACTATCATTTTCTCTCTGAATATAGCCACTTTTTTTTTTGTTGTTGTATTATAGATGTGCCCCAAATCTCTTTTTTTTTCTTCTCAGCATTCAGTGTATTTTAATTTTGCTATTTTTCAGAAAGCATTTTTCCAAATTTTATCTAAAAACAAGCTTTCTAAGAAAAAAATTATTTAAAAAAAATTATGAACATTATATTTAATTGATGGTGGTTGATGAAGTGTGCAGGAAGTGCTTTGTGTGCAGGAAGCAGAAGGAAACATTTTGTGTGCAAGTCCAGATTTAGGGTTCTTCAAGAGGAAAGGGGGGATCATCATGTCCTCCCAGTACAACAGGCATTACTTAGGTTGCTTCGGGTGTTAAGCTGGGGGGAACCTGCCACAGAATATTCAAATGTAAATAGGTCCTGTTTTTTGTTTATACCATCTATTGGGGTTCTCAAACTCCACAGAAGATCCTCCCTGAGGACCCTGTCCAGGGGAGTAAGGGGCTTTTGGTAGAGTCTCTGTGACTTACTTCCCTGGGCTTACAATTTTGTCATTTGCTCTCTGTTTATTTGTAGTGATATGTATAAAATCCCTAAAATTGGCATTTGTCTTTGGAGGCAGGAAAATGTGTATTGTACTTTTCACTGTTGGGCCAGCAAGGTACCTTTTTTTTTTTAAATTTATTTTTATTTTTTACAGAGAGGAAGGGAGACAGATAGTTAGAAACATCAATGAGAGAGAAATATTAATCAGCTGCCTCCTACACACCCCCCACTGGGGATATGCCCGCAACCAAAGTACATGCCCGTGACCGGAATCAAACCTGGGACCCTTCAGTCAGCAGACCGATGCTCTATCCACTGAGCCAAACCAGTTAGGGCTCAAGGTGCCTTTTGATGCCCAATACAGTTAAGGGCCCTCTCCTTTACAAGTCAGCCTGTTTTCTTGTTCTTTTCATTTCTTAGTATTTTGTACTCTTTCCTCTTCCTCAAAAGTGTTACCAAGTGAGGGTGCCCTTCTCTGTTTTTCTGTGTTCACACAAACACTCCTGCCTTTTTATTTGAGTCTTTTAGGTTAATAGAGGGCTTGGGTAACATTCAGAACATGTGCAGGGAAGTCATATAAAGTCTTGTGAAGCTCTCAATCATAGAAAAGTGTTTCTTTTTATATATTTTCAACTACCCTTTAAAACTTATGCCAAAACCGGTTTGGCTCAGTGGATAGAGCATCGGCCTGCGGACTGAAAGGTCCTGGGTTCAATTTCGGTCAAGGGCATGTACCGTGGTTGTGAACACATCTTTCTCATCGATGTTTCTAACTCTCTATCTCTCGCCCTTCCTCTCTATACAAAATCAATAAAATATATATTTTTAAAAATAAAAAAATTAAAAAAATTAAATATATTTTTAAAAAATAAATAAAACTTATATATCATTTATTACATCCTATATAATAAAAGCCTAATATGCTGTATCTAGTTGGCCATTCAACCAATCAAAGCATAATATGTTAAAGATATGCTAAATCCATTCACCCACTCACTATGATGTGCACTGACACCCAGGGGCAGATGCTCAGACCAGTAGGTAGCTTGCTGCTGGGGTCCGGCCGATCGGGACTGAGTGACATGGGCTGGACACATCCTGGAGTCCTCCCGCAGTCCCTCTCTAGCTGGCCACCTCCTGCATCCCTTCCAAGCCCCAATCATGCACTGTGAGGTCCCTAGGCCTGGCCTGCATCTCTCACAATCTGGGACTCCTTGGGGGTGTCAGAGAGCCAGTTTTGGCCCAATTCCAGAAAGACCAGTCACTATGTTGCCCACTGACCACCAGGGGGCAGACATTCAGTGCAGGAGGTGCCCCCTGTTGGTCAGTGGCTCCCACAGGGGTAGCACTGCTCAGCCAGAAGCCAGGCTCTTTGCTGACGAGCACAGCAGTGGTGATGGGCCTAAGCTGTCAGTTGGACATCCCTTGAGATTCTCCTAGACTATGAGAGGGCACAGGTCTGGCTGAGCTATCTTCTCCCTCTCCTCACCCCTCTCCCCCCGTGCATGAATCTTGTGCACCGGGCCTCTAGTAGTTATATAAAAAATTTGAGCCCTGTATGAAACCTTTTTATATTTACTAAAACTAAGCCATTTTAGAAAGGTTTTTCCAAATTTTTGCTAAGTAACTATAACAAATACGACATTGAAAATTTTTTACTACTACAAATATGACTTTGAAAGTTATTACAAAGATAAAGTTGAAAAATTCCAAAGCTTGATAGCGCACAATTAGGTATCCATATACTGACTTTTTTTTCCTATTTTTTTTTAATATATTTTATTGATTTTTTACAGAGAAGAAGAGAGAGGGATAGAGAGTTAGAAACATTGATGAGAGAGAATCATCGATCAGCTGCCTCTTGCACACCCCCTGCTAGGGATGTGCTCGCAATCAAGGTATATGCCCTTGACCAGAATCGAACCTGGGACTCTTCAGTCTGCAGGCCAACACTCTATCCACTGAGCCAAACCGGTTTCGGCTATACTGACTTCTTAACCTTCTTTAAGAGTACCTATGTATCTTGAAACCACTAGGTTTCTGGATATCCTGATTTAAAGTAACTATCTCCCCCTTCTCCCCCCATCCCCCTTTTTAAAAATTTTTTTACTATATAAATATAAGAAGGAAAAATACTTTAAGCCTCAGTAGTTCCCATAATTCATAAAATAGTAGTCTTTAATCTTTCTGGGGGTCATGATCCTACTTCAAATCTGAAAACTCTGAACACACCCCCTAGCAAGCTGATACATACACTCAGAAAATTTAATGGTTCCTTGACCCTCACCTGCACTCATGGATCCTATTCTATAACAGCCTTTAGGTAGAAATATTGATTTCAGACTGAGAAAATACAGTATGTCTGGTTTACTTTAGGAATTGGAGAAAAATATTCAATAGTATTTTATTGTTTCTTTTTTTTTCCCAATAGTATTTTACATGTGCTTCAAAATATTATTTAAAACTAAAACATTTCTTAAAAATATATATATTTTTTTATGTTAGAGAGGAAGGGGGAAGAGAGAGAGAAACATCAGTGATGAGAGAGAATCACTGATCCGCTGCCTTCCGCTGAGACCTTGTGACCTTGCCCAGAATTGAAACTGGGACCCTTCAGTCCTCAAACTGACACTCTATCCACTGAACCAAACTGGCAAGGCTAAATTATATTTAATATTCTAAATAAAATAAAAAATAAAAATAAATTGAGAACTTGAATTTTTTTATCCTTTGTGTAGCATTTATTTTCAGTAGCTGTGAATTAATGGTTCCTTATTCTTATTTTTTTTCTAGAACACCTTCCGAAGCTCCAGCCCAGACCATACTCTTGTGCAAGGTACAGTTATTTAACATGATATATGGTATCTTCCTCCCAAAATGTTATGAAAGTCCAACTTCCAAATCCTTCACATTTACTCAGTGAAATCTTACCTGATTGTGGGGACAATAGCAGCATAACGAGGAGTGAGGCCGACCAGCGTCCAGACTCCTGTCCTCCCCGAGGTCACAGGGTAGGGGCTCTCCAGTGGGGCCGTGCTCCCACTTCTCCAGGTCCTCCTGCTGCCGTTGTTGTGTGCGCATTGGCCATCTTGGGGCAGTGGAGGAGGGTGGGGAGGAGCGGGAAAAGTATGTAAATCTTATCTAGTCTTGAAGGCAAACAGGTTATTATAAATTTTTTTTTTAATTGATTTTTCACAGAGAGGTAGGGAGAGAGAGAGAGAGAGCTAGAAACATCGACCAGCTGCCTCTTTCACACCCCTTACCTGGGATGTGCCCGCAACCAATGTACATGCTTCTGACCGGAATCGAACCTGGGACCTTCCAGTCCACAGACCAACGCTCTACCACTGAGCCAAACCGGTTTCGGCAAACAGGTTATTATAAGCTTTCCCAGAATGTTATCATAAAATGTGGGTGGGGGAAGGGGTACTTTTAAGTAGGAATAGAGTTCTTCTCTCTGAAGAGTTAGAAGGTACATTCCTGCTCAGGGGAATACCGGGTGGAGCAAAAGTAGGTTTACAGTTGTTCATACAGAAATAATACAATAATTAATCAATAACACAAAAATAAATTCTGTATCTTGTACTCACAACTGAACCTACTTTTGCCCCTCCCTGTATTCTCACTGCACTAAAAAGAAGTTTATTTTGGCCTGAATGTATTAGTCTTAAAAGTGTTTAAAAATGTGTGTCTTTGTAGCTCAAGTCTGTCTCACCCAGGGAAGCTTCACTTTGTTTTTAACGTTGTGGAGTTTCTGTCCACCACCACACCCGTGGTTCTTCGGCGAGGCGTGTGCACAGGTTGGCTGGCCACATTGGTTGAATCAGTTCTTCAGCCGAACAGACATGCATCCCATGCAGATGGTGGGAAGGCCCTGGCTCCACAGGTACTATGAGTGTGCAGTGTTGGCATCATTGAAATTATGTTCTTTGCCTGGTTAGAAAGAACATATTGTTTCCCTCCATTATCCATTAGATTATGCCATACTTGAATTTTTAAATCCTGTTGGAAAACATAGCTTTCACTCCCTGTTAAGTGGTCTATGCATTTTGTAAATGTGTAAGCATGAATTTTATATTCATAGAAGACTTCCTTGAATGTTCTTGGTAGATTGACATAGGAAGAATATTGAAAACAGCCTCATTTTATGTTTAGGCTGTATAACCTGTGTCCCAAATAATTCCTTTTAGGAATAATAATTCCTCAGTTGTCAGCCAGAGACTGATTTTATGTCCTTCAGTCTGGGTGGTAGGAGTTTCACTGGCCCATGCCCCTACCCTTTTGTCAGCCGTGGTGTGTAAATTCTGAATTAGTGCTAGTAGTGAGGAAACTGTGTGGAGAATCACTTTTAAACCCCGTAGAGTACCCTAGCCAGTTTGGCTCAGTGGCTAGAGCATCGGTCTGTGGACTGAAGGTTCCCAGTTCATTTCCAGCCAAGGGCATATGCCTGGGTTGCAGGCTCGATTCCCAGTAGGGGATGTGCAGGAGGCAGCTGATCAATGATTCTCTCTCATCATTGATGTTTCTCTCTCTATCCCTCTTTCTTCCTCTCTAAAGTCAATAAAATTTTAAAAATAATAAAACCCATAGAGGAAAATCTTATTTGATTTCTTATAAACAAACTGGACATATTTCTATCTGAATGTAGTGGCGTTGTAAGCTTGGACTATAGAGTCCATTCCTATGTTCTTAACTCTTAGTGTCCATCCAGCAAAACTTAGGCATGTGGCAAAGTGAACCTGAAAATAAGTATATTTACAACTGATTCCTTGTAAGTACTCTGGCACATGAATTAGAAGAAAAATAGTGAAAAGATTTTAACTGTCTCTATCACTTATTCTTTTAGTTTTGCACAAACACAAGTAACATTGGAACCTAGCATACCATAACACAATCTCTAAATCTTCAGAGCAAGCTCATACTTTCCCCTTCAGTTCCTTAATTTTCATTTAAAACTTTTCACCCCATATTAATGTTAATCTTCATTGCCCTGTGTTAATCTTCATTGTTTCTGCTTATCTCCAAAATGCACGCAATGGGTGGCATGCTAGGAAACATCTTATTCATGGAACTAGAAAAGAATTAGATAAGTCATGTTTTACCTCAGAAATATGCCTGTCATTTTTAAAACACCATAGATTTGGATGGAAAATAAAAATATGTAAGTCAGATTTATTTCTCTGTAGTGACAAATATGTTCCTGGTTTCATGAACTAATGATGTAATGCTGCTGTTTAATTTTACGGTGCTCCTTTTAGGGGAATTTGCACTTGTTGATTTCCTTAGCACATATCATATCGGTTATAGGCTTTGTCTAGGTTTTCTTTCATACGTATGACTGTTGGTTTAATGTTACAGATATCCATTTCTCCTCGCACAGCAAACTCTTTCCACTTGCCAAATGACCCCTCCATCCCCATCATCATGGTGGGTCCTGGAACTGGCGTAGCGCCCTTCATTGGTTTCCTGCAGCATAGGTAAGCGCTGGCTGGCTGGTGAGCACATAAGCACATGGGTCCCGTGTGGTCTTGGCTGGGGATAGAACTGAGAGCTTTTTTGTTTCTTCTGTGATTTTTAGAATATTGGATTTTGCTTATAAAATTTTTATTTGAAAAATTATCATCAAATTTGTGATAGCATAACAATCTGTCACCAAGGGAGAAGTGAAGATGCCATCTTCTGGAGAGTCACTTTGTGCTGGAGCTTCCCTTCTTACTGCAGCACTTTCCTGACTCCCTGGCTGCTCCGTGGCTTGGGGCACTCCGCTAGAGGCACGTTTCCAGCAGAGCTTCGTGCAGTGATGCTGTGCAGACCGTCCAGTCTGTTCCTTAAGTCAGTGTTTTTCAACCTTTTTTGGGCAAAGGCACACTTGTTTCATGAAAAAAATCACGAGGCACACCACCATTAGAAAATGTTAAAAATTTTAACTCTGTGCCTATATTGACTATATATAAAGTAATTCTCTTGAATAGGAATCAAATAAACACAAAGAAAGTATTTTATAATTACTTTATTATGAAATATTAAGTAAACAAAATAGTGAAAAATTATAAAATTCTTGTCTTGTCTGCACCTATGGCACACCAGGCAACATCTCGCGGCACACTAGTGTGCCGCGGAACAGCGGTTGAAAAACGCTGCCTTAAGTAGATAAAATTGGTGGTGACAGTGCCAATTATACCAAAAGTTTCAAAGTTAAGCCCCAAACAGCAATAATGTTCAATGGAACGATACTAACGGATATATTTTTTTTTTCTGAGAACAGAACTGCTTGATATAAAATAAATAAAATTGTGTTTCTCTCCCCATATGTAAAATAATGAACAGTTTTTATGTGCTGTTCCCCAGATAATGAGAGTAATGCCATTTGGACATAATTTTGCTGTCATTTTACTATTTTACTTTAAGAAAGCGGAAGAGTGATGGCAGACACACTCGGCGTGTCTCATTGGTGTGCCCAGCATTTCTGACATCCCACAAGCCCTGTGCCACGTTCCAGTGTATTAATTCAGAGCTCATTTTGTTCATAAGGTTGCTATTAATATTGAATGTAGAAGTCAGTCTAAGTTTCACAATGTGGTGGTTGCATTTTCCATGTTACTAAGATGTCCCATAGAGCTCCTAGGTGTCTACAGCTCAGAGACTCTGACTCATTGCAATGTCTGCTGCAGGGCCAAGTGCCCTGAGGAGAGTGAAATGTTAAGATGTTAATTCAGCCGAGACTGGTTTGGCTCAGTGGATAGAGCGTTGGCCTGCGGACTGAAAGGTCCCAGGTTTGATTCCAGTTGGAGGCATGTACCTTGGTTGCGGGTACATCTCCAGTAGGGGGTGTGCAAGAGGCAGCTCATCGATGATTCTCGCTCATCGATGATTCTCCCTCATCGATGTTTCTAACTCTCTATCCCTCTTTCTTCCTCTCTGTAAAAAGTCAAAAAAATATATTTAAAAAAAAATTAATTCAGTGAGTGAACTTTCAGAGACTTCAAAGGCAGAGTTTACAGACCTTTCTGGGTTGGTTGGTGGTATTTCCCAGCCAAACAGAGAGGTTGGTTGTATAAATATATATATATTCCTTAAGTTAAACATCTCACCTTTCTTTCTCACTCAGAGAGAAACTCCAAGAACAGCATCCAGACGGACACTATGGGGCGATGTGGTTGTTTTTTGGCTGTAGACATCAGGAGAGGGATTATTTATTCAGGTACTCTGCAACTCTAGTATTGTCCGCCTCAACCATGCAGGTGCGATTCTCACTACAGACTTTTCAACTTTAAATCACAAACCTCCTGTGTATTTCAGAGAAGAGCTCAGACATTTCCATGAGCGTGGAATCCTCACTCACCTGAAGGTTTCCTTCTCAAGAGACTCTCCTGCCGGGAAGGAGCAAGCCCCCGTGAAGTACGTGCAGGACAACATCCAGCTTCACAGCAAGCAGGTGGCAAGGCTCCTCCTTCATGAGAACGGTTACATTTACGTGTGTGGGTAAGCAGCCCTCATGCTCAGGTGCCAGGTCGGGGAGGCAGGCAGTGACATTTACTGAAGGAGCAAGGCGCCAATCGGGTAAAAACCCAGACACGGAGGGAGGAGAGATTTGATGCTTAAGTACAGGATGAGAAATATAAGTTCCGAAATGACTTCAATATACATTTTACTGTAAGGGGCAGGTCAGATTCAGTTCGTGGAGTGCTGGCGTCCTGTCCAACACTTCTTTTCATTTAACAATACTCAAGTGCCTACTGAGTATTTGGCATTGTTCAGATGATGAGGGGTACAAAGGTAAATGAGATACACTCCCTGCCACTAGACAGGGCATTCCCTGGGCGGGGAGCAGGTGACCAAGTGCCTACAATATGGCAAGTGCTGTGCAGGGGACTGCAGGGCATTGGGGAGGGGGGTACCTCAGTTTTCTGTAAATGAACAGAGCTGAGGCACGTCAGAGCATTGAGAGAACAGCCAGGCTGATCAGAAGCCAGAGGGGAAGTTCATTCAACATTTAAGGTTTGGGCCGCTCCCAGGACATGGACTTTGAAGGAGAGGAGTGTAAGCTGTGACCAGTATGTGTTAGAATGGTCACTGTGGGAAGGCCTGGTGTTGGGGGAGTGACAGGGCTGGGGCGGGGAGACCTTTGGGGACTTTCTGGAGAAATGGAAGGAGGACTAAAGTGTAGTGTGGGGCGCCTTAGATTCATGAATTAAGGAAGATTTGGTAAAAATTCCTGGGTTAAACATTGGTACTATTATTTCTTTTTTCTAGAGATGCTAAGAATATGGCCAGGGATGTAAATGATACCCTTGTGGAAATAATAAGCAAAGAGGTTGGAGTTGATAAACTGGAAGCAATGAAAACTTTGGCTACTTTAAAAGAAGAAAAACGCTATCTTCAGGATGTATGGTCATAAAAGCAGGAAATGAAGAGAATTGAGGTTATTTTATTTATTTTATTTTTTTTACTGAAATTACTAAAAGACACCTTCACTGAAGTTTCGATTTTTAAAATTTAAAAAAAAATTGTTTTAAATTTTGGTTAGGGAGAGTGGGGAGTGGATCACTTAATAGAATAACTAACTTCCAGTTTGGTTTTCCTTATCCACCCCTAATCTCCTTCCCCTCCCCAAATCAGCCTGTGGCCTTTAGGCCCCCTGGGCTAAGGGGCAGCCCTCAACCCTCCACCAGCACCTCCCTCCTGGGGCCACGTCCACATCCTGGGGAACTTCACAGAGACCTGACCAGATCGCAGGGAGCCTGTATCAGTGAGTGTGGGGGCTTCCCAATGTGGGATGTGGGCACCTGAGTCCCTCAGGCAAATAGTTAAATCTGGGAACTCATGTTGCCAATTTTTTAAATAATGTAAAAATAATTTATAATTCTTACATGAAATGTACCATAAAGATTATACATGTATAGAATATCTATTATAATTATGTTTCTATTACCTTATCAGATGTTTATTTTAATTCCCAAAACTATATTTCTGATAACAAATATTTTAAGGTAATGCTTATAGGGAATTTTTCTGTGTGTGATCCTAGAAATATGAAATATATTTTGAAATTCTATTTTGGTGTATGATTTATTTATCTCAATTACTTTTTGACATTACAATTCTAGAATTTAGGAAAATTTGCATTCAATTTACAGATATGAGCAAAAACCTATCATAGTAAAGCTACAACCTCTTTTCCCTCCCTTTCTCCCATCCCCAAATCTTTTCATTTTGGCATGTTCGGTAGTTTTTCCACATAACTTACCCCCATGATCACTCAAATTTTTATCTTAGACTTAAAATGTCTACTTAATGAAAAGAAAAGAGAAACATGTTGAAATTTTACCATTTTCTTAACATGTTGTATCTTTACCATGTTAAAATGCAGAAACTGGAATACAGAATGTCCAATATATAACTGTCATTCCTTTTCATTGTTTTTGTCATTTAAAAAAATGCTCGCTCTTCATTGTTTAGCTTAGTACAGTGCCTCAGAATCTCTAAGGGTGATGGAGATTGCTGAAGGGTATTTTCAGTCTACTGTCAGATATTAATCAAAATTTGAAGAGGAACTGGTGGAGAAGGTTTTGTTGCCTTTAACTTGCACTTTGGCCATGTGGGTCATAGCATCCCTGGTGAAGCAGTCCTCCAGCCAGGGAAACAGGGAGAGGGTGTTCACTCATGAGCCTTCCTGAGTTCTCCCGTGGGCAGTGTGAGCCAGGACCTGTTTTGGGGACTGAAGACACAGCCAGTTGTCATCACCACTCCATTTATTACAAAGCAGACTGCCCCAGATCTTTAAAATCACATTAAATTGTATGAATTATATGTTAATTCTTTTAAATTTCAATTTTCAGATACATATAACCAAAACTGATCTTTGTTGAAATATTGCCAAGGACAAGTGCAATACTCATTCACGGAAGGCATCTTTTATCCCTCTCCCAGAATCTCCCACTACGTGCGCCGCCCCCCCCCCCCCCACACACACCCACGCACACACAATGTATGAAGAATCTGACTTAAAAGTGTCTGAAAACCCTGTGGGTCTTTATGGCTCAAATTCTATTCACAACACCACCACACTTGGCTCTGGGTTTTCTGAAAAGGCCATACATCTCCACCTCCACATGCAATAGGAGACCTGTGGGACTATGTCGGCAGACAAGGCCTGTCCAGGAAGACGGAGGCTCTTGTTGTTATATTACTCCACAGAGGCCTGGGATTCTCAGGGGACCAAAAGGCCAGTCCCCAGACAAATGGAAATAATTGCTAAGATATGAGGGCCAAAACAAGTGAATCAGAATGCAAAGCAGAGCAGCTTTGCAAAGGGAGCAAGCTGAAAACTGACAAGGAAGTTGAAATTCTCCAATTTACTTAATACTAGATGCAGCTATTTTTTTAGCTTTTAAAATTTAACCCAGAGGACAATGCAGTTGGAAATGATAGCAGGATCCCATAATGTTGACTTTGAACCTCAAATGCAGGAATGATTTAGGACGGGGTTCTGTTATAAATGCCCACATAAACCTCACATTTCCAACAGCTGTATGTGGGAAATCAGTTGTGAACCTGGATGCACAGATTGGAGGTGGGGACCTTTCCATGAGATCAAGTACATATCACTGTGAGTATTCATTGGGAAATGGATTGGGGGATAAATATTGTACGAAATGACATGTGTCTTGGCTCCCTAGTGTTGCATGACTGGAAAGATTGTGAACATGCACATTTAGGCTTTTATTTGGAGAGACATGGGACATAAAATTTCAAATCACAGGGCTGGTTAGTGGACTGTGGCACCGAGTTGGCAAGGTATTACATCCCTCTGAGGCCCTGGTCCTCTTCTGTAGGCTCAGTTTCCCTCTTCTGATACACGATATATTTCTGCTCCTTAGCGTATAAATAGAAGAAGGGGAAACTATCTTCAAATGTTCTATTGAAACAAAAGATGCATAATACTGTTTCTGAAATTATAAAGTTCTAGGCAAATGCTGGGTTCTTATTGACAATATGCAGTAAGATGGTTTCTATATCTTAATGAATATGTTTATTTGATCTTAAGAATGAAAGTCTTTCCTTTAGTCATTTTAATAATATTGGGTTGTGTTTTTGGTTACGTGATTTTATACAAAAAAGGGAGTCACTTTCTCTAAGAGATTCTGATATATTTAGGAAAATGGAAACCCGTCATGACTTTTATTTTAGAGAAGAGGGTCCTTGTGCCTCAGGCTTTTAAGAAAGAACCATAACATCTGTATGCCAGCTCGAGGCACAGGGCCCCGGACATCTTAAGTCATTCGTAGACACCCAGAGTAGCATCAGATGCCTGATGTGAGACAAAGCAAAGGCCAATCTGTGGAAAAATACGTTTTAACTCCATTTCTCACTGTTCCTTTTATTCCTTTATTTGTAGTGAAAATGACATTATTCTAGAGAGAATTAGTAGCTTTCACCTCACCTTGGTAAGCTATAAGGACAGAAATATAAGAGGGTTTCTTTTCTATTTAAATGTAATCTACTTTTAATTCTCATTTTCTAAGTGAAAAATCAGGACATGGGAGGACAAATTTCTGCACTCCTGAAATGGTGTTTTATCCTTGGGTGCTAAAACACCAGTCTGTCTTCTCATTGGCCTCTTAATTGTGGGTTTCATGTGTGACGTTGCAAAGAGCATGCATGAGCTCCAGAAGGAACTTTACTTGTTCTGGCAACTTTCCTTGAGGTCTCCTGGATTGGTTTTCCTCTGCAGAGGGTGGACAGCAATGGCTTTGACACAGAAGAGCTTAGGCAGGAGCATGGCAGACCACAGGCAAGCACTGCCAGGGTTCCTCAGCTGGAAGTGAGCATTTTACCTCAGGCTGGGGATTTGGCTGAGGCTGGTGCTATGGTTTCAGCCCGAGGGACAGTGTAGGGAAGTACCCAGCACACTCTTCTCATGACTCCTGACCCAAAACAACCATGTGAAAAGATAAAACACAAAGTGAAAACATCAGCACTACAGACTCTGTGTTTTATATAACAAGTTTCTAAAACGTTTAGTCATGCAAAAATAAAGATATTTAGGTATTTTTAAAGAAGGGCTTTGTCACCCCAAATGCGAAGGACCTAGTGAATCTGAGGAGCTTTGGGGGTGCTGGGTCAGGCTCAGCAACATGAAGTCACCAAGCTCAGGCGTTTCCTTCCTCATTTGCCAATCCATTTTAGGCATGTTTCTGTGCCACAGCTCCTAGAAACGTACTTGGGCCACCTGAACTCCCTTTCTCCTTCAGGAACTTTTCACTAAGCCCCCCTGAAGTAGATTCTGACTAGAATTGACATAAATCTGGGGAAATACAGAGGAGTACTTGCGTGTGAGAGGCAGGCAGAGATCCTAAAGAAACTGAAGAGGAATGAGGCGTGAGCATGTCCTAAGTGTTGAGAAGCCTACCAAGGGATGATGGGTGAAACCATAGCACCATCATCCAGGACAAATCAGGGATCTGGCCCCATTGACTTATGGCGTAATGCCCAAGAGAAAGGAAGTAAATGTAGAAAATGGTCAGAGAAGTAGGAGACCTAAAAAGATGGGGATCTGGGCACCCCAAGCTGAGTGTTATGGAGGGTCCCAGGAGGGACCCATGATCTGTGTGGGTAGAAAGAACCTTGGACTCGACTGGATCATCTGCTCAGAGTGCAGGGGGGCAGAAGGGAAAAAGGGTCCTGACTTCCTACAAAATGGTGAAAAGAATCCTAGGAAATAAAGCCTATGTGAGTGAGTGTATCCACGTGAGTCTTTGGTAGTTAGTGGGAATAAGGGAACTACGAGGCCATGGTGAAGCTTGGAGATACTGTACATGAGTGGCTTTGCAAACAATGTTTCCCTGGTGGGTGCACTATGAAAAGAATTTGAACGGGGATTTGCTTTATTTGTGGTAGCTGTAGGGGCTGAATGTTCCTGAAAAATAAATGAGCGTCACTGAAAATAGTACCTGAAAGTATCTTAGTGGCTTCTTAACTGTTCTAAAAATAAGACTTCTTCAGTAAAAAAAATAAAAAAATAAAAAAATAAAAAAGAGGAAGATGGGACCTTTTTGTTTATAGCACACCACCTTGTTACTCTCCTTTCTCGCTCCCCGCCTCTGCACCCTCCCCCCCTTGGAAACCTAAGCACAGTGGTAAGATTACAGTGGTGAATGCTCATGCTGGTACTTCACCAACTTTGTTTCAGCAATTAAATCCCATCAGCAAAAACACTGATTTCCTCCATCTCATCTTTCTTATTTAATTCATGCCCAGCCTGCCCCTCTCACAATCTAGGAGCCCTCAGGGGCGGGAGGCCACCCGGCAATCGGGAAGGTGACACCCCCATTACACCTCTGGTGCTGCCACTGCCGGCAGCGCAATCCTCAGCCAGCCCTGGTTTCTTGAGCCTGGGGCAGCTGGGTAGCTACCATCTGAGCAGCTGGGGGGCTGAGGGGACTGGGGGACTCTGGAGGCAGGCAGGTAGAGTGCCCGTGCCCGCATGGGGCCTTATTGTGTGCCTGCCGCCCCTGGGGGCTGAGGTTACTGGGTGCTGCCATCTTGTGGCTGTGGGCACCACCATCTTTGAGGATGTGGCAGTCTATTAGCATATCTCCTTTTTACTGGTTAGTATATTTATTGATTGATTTGAGAGATAGAGATCAATTTGTTGTATCTATTTATGCATTCATTGGTTACTTCTTGTTTGTGCCATGCCTAGGGATCAAACTCTCCACCTTGGTGTATCAGGATGATGCTCTAACCAACTGAGCTACCTGGCCAGGGCCCTTAATTTCTTTAAATCTTCATTCCAAACCAGGCTCTTGTTTGTAGATTAGAATTTTAGTTCAAATTGCAATGGCTTTTATAGACTTACTTTTCTATTGTAAATAAACAAACAAACAAAACAAAAAAAAACAACAACTATATTTTGAAGCTGTACCATTTGAAACATGCCTGCCAATCAGCAAGCAAACAGACCACCACTGAAAGGGAACTTTTCTAATAAGGAGCAAGGGGGACATAGCTGTGGTAACTTGAATGGGATCATCACACTGCTTGGGAGTTATGGTTAAGGATGGAAACACATCATAGAATGGTAGGTGTGTCTTTGACATCGCTCTAAGTGCAGTGGCTTTGCTAACATATTAGGTGGAGTACAATTCAATTATCTAAGGCTCATCCAACAAGGATTTATTTAAATTTAGCGTATGCCCTTGAAACATCCTGCTGGTCTGGCTTTTGTAAAAGGCAAACCTAACTTATTTTCCTCCTCCCTCCCTCAACCCTTGTTGAGACAAATAAATAAAAATAAAACTGGTAGGCCAGACCAGAAGGCTGGATATAGCTATCATTTAGACTTGGCTAAATGATGTTTGGAAATACATTTAGGTGTTAAGGTCACGAGGCACCAGTTAATAC